TTAAATAGCCTCTGGTATGAATCAACCTTGTGACATCCTTGATGACATCAGAGAGCGTATAGATTTGAGAAAGTGATTAACCACCTCCTCCTTTATCCTATATCCTATATCCACATAGTGAATACAATCAAACATTTAACACACAGATTAAGACATTAAGAAATATACATGACTTGTCTTAGGGACAAATAGAGTGTCCTTGCCCACTTTGTCACATCGTTGTTTGGCATTTTGTAGATTGTCTCTTTTCTCATAATGAAAAACAAAACTAAAAACATCTCATTAGTGCTAGCTGGCTAGTCTGTTAAATATATAAATGAATCAAGTTTATTATTATTATTGAAACAAAGTAACACATTAAAACAGTACTGAACATGGGAGACAAGACAACAGATACATGACATTACAAAAGGATATAGTGTTTTACAAGATTGTGGTGTGTTGTGTGGGTATTTCCAACTTATGCAGTCTATGCAATGCAAGAAAGGGAAAAGGAGGGAAAATAAATAAATAAACAAAACATTACCAATAATAATGATGATAACAGTACTACTAGTAAAATCAGCTTGTTACATTTTTAGAGGTTGGTGGGAATGTGCGTGGCCTCAGCCCCAGGTGTTTGGTTCAAGTTGAAATGTGTTAAAAATGGAATGTGTTAAAAATGAATAAAGTTAATTTTTGTTTTTACAATAAATTTTAATTTTTTAAATGACAGTATTATAATCTATGCATTGTTGTATTTTAAACTTGTTTGGGAATTGTTTTCTGCTTACTCTCTTTAGTGTTCTTGTGCAGCGTGTTGATACTCTGACTTAACACCGAGTGAAACCGTAGTCAATGAAGAGGTCGTAGCAAGATCAGAAACATTTACTCTCCACTCTTCATATAACATCACGGTAAAAACTGCAAATAAACAATACAATAAACACTGTGTCAGTTATGCTTATTTAACCAATATCTATACTATAAATGGTGGTACACTTCAACACACATTCAAATGCATCGTATCAGCTGGCTTATGCACAACTGTAAATAAATTTCCTCAGCGTCACATCTAACTCTTTTTAACACAATCATAGCAAATGTTAACTATAATATGTCAACTGACACATATCATTAGTGATGTGACGTTCCGTATCGAGGCTTCGAAGCGTGTGCCGAGTAGGGGTGGGGGCGTTTCCGCGATGCGCGTATCGAGGCTTGCGTCGTTTAGGGGAGGAGCTGAAAATGATGACGTCCGAAGCCTCGCTGCCCGGCTGTACCACGTGACTGATTCAGGACGTGGTTCGGAGTTTGCCGCGAGTTTTGACAGCGATATAAACCCCTCAGGCTCTATTCAAAATGTGGGTGTTTGATGGAGAGTTGTGGTCAGTGAGAGTTTGGAGACAGTTTGGATAGAGTTAGAGATAGATAGTTTGGATAGAGTTAGAGATAGTTTGGAGAGAGGTAGAGATAATTTGGAGAGAGGTAGAGATAATTTGGAGAGAGTTTGGAGATTTAGGAGAGTGAGGAGAGAGAGTTAGGAGAGAATGGAGCAAGCTAAGAAGAGGAGGATGTCCCCTGTGTGGGAACATTTTGATCTCATTCCTCCCAACAAGGTATGTACAGTAATATT